CTATCGCATTATGCACTCGTGTGATATCTATCGCACCATGCACTCGTGTGATATCTATCGCACCATGAACTTGTGTGATATCTATCGCACCATGCACTCGTGTGATATCTATCACACCATGCACTCGTGTGATATCATTCGCACCATGCACTCGTGTGATATCTATCGCATTATGCACTCGTGTGATATCTATCGCACCATGCACTCGTGTGATATCTATCGCACCATGCACTCGTGTGATATCTACCGCACCATGCACTCGTGTGATATCTATCGCACCATGCACTCGTGTGATATCTGTCGCATTATGCACTCGTGTGATAGCTATCGCATTATGCACTCATGTGATAGCTATCGCACCATGCACTCGTGTGATATTATCGCATTATGCACTCGTGTGATATCTATCGCACCATGCACTCGTGTGATATCTATCGCATTATGCACTCGTGTGATATCTATCGCATTATGCACTCGTGTGATATCTATCGCATTATGCACTCGTGTGATATCTATCGCATTATGCACTCGTGGGATATCTATCGCATTATGCACTCGTGTGATATCTATTGCATTATGCACTCGTGTGATATCTATCGCACCATGCACTCGTGTGATATTATCGCATTATGCACTCGTGTGATATCTATCGCATTATGCACTCGTGTGATATCTATCGCACCATGCACTCGTGTGATATCTATCGCATTATGCACTCGTGTGATATCTATCGCATTATGCACTCGTGTGATATCTATCGCACCATGCACTCGTGTGATATTATCGCATTATGCACTCGTGTGATATCTATCGCATTATGCACTCGTGTGATATCTATCGCATTATGCACTCGTGTGATATCTATCGCACCATGCACTCGTGTAATATCTATCGCACCATGCACTCGTGTGATATCTATCGAACCATGCACTCATGTGATATCTATCACACCATGCACTCGTGTGATATCTATCGCATTATGCACTCGTGTGATATCTATTGCATTATGCACTCGTGTGATATCTATCGCACCATACACTCGTGTGGTATCTATGGCATTATGCACTCGTGTGATATCTATGGCATTATGCACTCGTGTGATATTATCGCATTATGCACTCGTGTGATATCTATCGCACCATGCACTCGTGTGATATCTATCGCATTATGCACTTGTGTGATATCTATCGCATTATGCACTTGTGTGATATCTATGGCATTATGCACTCGTGTGATATCTATCGCATTATGCACTCGTGGGATATCTATCGCATTATGCACTCGTGGGATATCTATTGCATTATGCACTCGTGTGATATCTATTGCACCATGCACTCGTGTGATATCTATCGCACCATGCACTCGTGTGATATCTATCGCACCATGCACTCGTGTGATATCTATCGCATTATGCACTCGTGTGATATTTATCGCACCATGCACTCGTGTGATATCTATCGCATTATGCACTCGTGTGATATCTATCGCACCATGCACTCGTGTGATATCTATCGCACCATGCACTTGTGTGATATCTATCGCACCATGCACTCGTGTGGTATCTATGGCATTATGCACTCGTGTGATATCTATGGCATTATGCACTCGTGTGATATTATCGCATTATGCACTCGTGTGATATCTATCGCACCATGCACTCGTGTGATATCTATCGCATTATGCACTTGTGTGATATCTATCGCATTATGCACTTGTGTGATATCTATGGCATTATGCACTCGTGTGATATCTATCGCACCATGCACTCGCGGGATATCTATCGCATTATGCACTCGTGTGATATCTATCGCATTATGCACTTGTGTGATATCTATCGCACCATGCACTCGTGTGGTATCTATGGCATTATGCACTCGTGTGATATCTATGGCATTATGCACTCGTGTGATATTATCGCATTATGCACTCGTGTGATATCTATCGCATTATGCACTCGTGTGATATCTATGGCATTATGCACTCGTGTGATATCTATGGCATTATGCACTCGTGTGATATCTATCGCATTATGCACTCGTGTGATATCTATCGCATTATGCACTCGTGTGATATTATCGCATTATGCACTCGTGTGATATCTATCGCACCATGCACTCGTGGGGTATCTATCGCATTATGCACTTGTGTGATACCTATCGCATTTTGCACTCGTGTGATATCTATCGCATTATGCACTCGTGTGATATCTATCGCATTATGCACTCATGTGATACCTATCGCACTATGCACTCGTGTGATATCTATCGCATTATGGAAACGGAAACACGGAATATCACGTGCACCAGAAAATAAACAAACTTCTATCACTCGTGTGGTTTCCACGACAACTGCGTTTACTCATATCACGTAAGAATGTCTCGTCTCACAAATTCTGAGAATATTTGCTGACAGATATCGAAAAGAAAATTATATACTATCACGTCCACAAAACCATTCACTTGATTTCATAAATATTTGTCAACTTTAATGGCGGTCGAAACGGCAAGGCAACCAAAGAGCGCAGTGCGCAATGTCATCATTTAAAAACATACAATTCCATCCGCCAATAGAAACCTCTCGTTTTATTTTGAGTTATGTAATTTATAAATGTTTATATAAAGGTTATGGGTTTGTGATCGCAATAATATGTACGAAGAGCTCAAAACTAAAATGAATATATATATATCGAAAATACATGTCATTACTCATATTGTGCTGTGTTCATATTTTCAACTTATCTCATTTATTCACTGAATGCTCTTCAAAAACTAATTTAGTAATAATATTAAAAATATAATCTAGTAAATGTAATAACATAAATTTAGAATAAAGAATATGTGACTTCTGTTATCCAAAAATCGAGGTGCACTGTGCTCCCAAAACATTATGAGATGTATAATTATTTAGAAGTATAATCACATAAAATAATTATAATTTCTAATGAAAAAAACATCCTGTATACCTGAGGCTGGCAATCTCTCATTCATTTATATACTTACAAGTCAAGTAATAATGTATGATATATTGAAGATAATATTTGGTAATCGTAGTCCTAAATAACTATTAAGTAATAATGTAGAAGTCTTCACGGCTGCATGTAGTTCTCATCATCCATTTTTTTATTTATCTACAATGTATTTACAATGTGGGAATGTAATTCCACATATGACAAAATAATAAAATAAATAAACAAACAAACAAACAAATAAATAAATAAATAATAATAACACGTTATGATGTGTTATAATGAGGGATGCTGGAAATATTGGTTATTTTGCTATATTCGCAATAAAGATTATGAATATTTGCCTAGATACACCCGTTTATTTTAACACGACAACACTGTCGTCATCGCACGTGACTTGCAATATGCAGCCAACTATAAAATATAATTGAGCAATGTAATAATGAAAGTCACGCATATGAATAATTAATTTATAACAATTTCACTTCTTTTATATTGTCAAAAACGTCATGGAAACCAAATATTTATATAGCAACAAGCGAAATAATAAAATAGTGTTTTAATTTCCTGTAATTTCTATATAGTATTTTTGTACGTGATAAGCAGTTAAAACACGCCACAACAATATACTGCAGTTATTTCGAGCGTAAAATATGACATAGCGTCGTTCAAGTGGAAATGAAGGCCCTGCATAGTGATGTGCACATCCGGGTTGTTACCAGTGCTTAATATTACCTTATTTGGTTGCACGTATGCGCAAGTAAACTCAGCCATGTGACGGGCATTGGAATTAGATGGCAATACTGATGATCTACAAACAGGTCACGCACTGCATCCGTTCGTATCCTCCAATGTATTAATACACACTTGTTATCGCCATAACGCTTCTTATTAAAAAATGGTTGCTGCAGTCATGCTTTTATTTGTAGATGAAATATGCGAAAACTGTAAAATAAGAAAAATGTTTACCAGCCCGAATAAAAATACAAAAAATGTTTTGTGTAAAACCATGTGTAATAAAACATAACTAGACTAATTTGGGTCACGTTTCCATGGTGATGTGAAAACTTGCAGAATAGAAATGAAGTTCGTCTCACATATAACATCATATTTAACAAACTGTAAACTATATACGATACTTTGATGGTCGTCGCGAGGCTACGCGCTGTATGTTTATGTGGCATTTGAACACATACTTTACGATAAACATCGTAAAATCTGAACACATACTTTACGATAAACATCGCGAAATTTGAACACATACTTTACGATAAACATCGCGAAATTTGAACACATACTTTACGATAAACATCGCGAAATTTGAACACATACTTTACGCTAAACATCGCGAAATTTGAATACATACTTTACTATAAACATAATAAAATTGGAACACATACTTTACGATAAACATCGCGAAATTTATACATATACTTTACGATAAACATCGCGAAAATTGAACACATACTTTACGATAAACATCGTAAAATTGGAACACAACACATACTTAACGATAAACATCACGAAATTTGAACACATACTTTACGATAAACATCGCGAAATTTGAACACATACTTTACGATAAACATCGCGAAATTTGAACACATACTTTACGATAAACATCGCGAAATTTGAACACATACTTTACGATAAACATCGCGAAATTAGAACACATACTTTACGATAAACATCCTAAAATTTGAACATATACTTTACGATAAACATCCTAAAATTTGAACATATACTTTACGATAAACATTGCGAAATTTGAACACATACTTTACGATAAACATCGCGAAATTGAAATACATACTTAACGTTAAACATCGTCAAATTGGAACACGCACTTTACGATAAACATCGCGAAATTTGAACACATACTTTACGATAAACATCGCGAAATTTGAACATATACTTTACGATAAACATCGCAAAATTTGAACACATACCTAACGATAAACATAGCGAAATTTGAACACATACTTTACGATAAGCCCTTTTTATCTTTTTTTTACTGTTTGCTTTGTTTTTGCAGGTAACCAATAAATTGATGTACACCGGTAGCTCAGATCAAACAGCCAAATGCTGGGTTACGGAGTTTGCTGACTGTACAAGAACGTACCTCGGTCATAGACACAGTATTAACACTCTGAAAGTGCAGGAAGGCTTAGGTAAGCTTCAACTTAAAGCAACATTTAATACGAAGAGAAGTGGATACACTTGAGTATGACGTGGTTACTAATTGGTGTTTGGAAATCAACAGAATTGGTTACACTCTGATATGACGGATTGAATGCACTCGGACATACACGTGGGTGTCACGTGTCTACTACTTAGCATATTATTGCGTAAATTGTCTGCCAAAATGTAACCCGCGTACGTTCCGAGGAGATACGTGCCTTAAATACAAACCCTGTTTTATGCGAAAAAGAAATCCTAGAACATCTATACAATTTGAACGTCTCAAAATATTAAAAACAAGTCTAAAAATCAATTAAAGTCAAATTGACCCGAATTAAGTTCATTTATCTCAATGCCCTCAGGTTCGAGGTCACTTATTTTCAAACTTTGCAATGAAGATGACATTTGGTCAGTTAATTGAAAACTTATCGCTGTTTCTCAAAATGTGTGAGCACATTTTTATTTTTTTTGATAATGTGTAGTTTTTGTATTTTGCCTCTGAAAATAAACATACGCAATTCAGACAGTAGTTGCAAACTGTTATCAGCAGTTCAGTAAACCATGGCCATCATTTACCCATTGTGATTTAGTTCATTTGCAGCTAGTGTTCAAAGCGGGGAATTCAAAATTAAACAACCAACCATGTAATGTAGTAGTTGCATAAAAACGTTTTGAACATTTGAACATATAACATTTCAATAATAAATAAAATATAGTATTTTTAAGTAAAATCATATTTATTAAAATTGTTGTTCATACATGAGTTGTTGAACACACTATATATATCGTTTAATTTCATTCAGCTTCTTTCAGTCATAATTTAAGACAAAAATAGAGAATATAGCAAATTATGGTTTGTGTTTATTTTTCACATGTAATCGGTAATTTATGGTAATTATTATTGGTGTGAATGAATTACTCTCAATATAGTCTGATGATTTTTTTTGTCAAAATCAGTTGTTTACAGGTTGGAAAAAAAGAACTTCACAATGTCGAAATCGGAAAGGCATTATCCTATTATAAATAATGAGTTCATACAATATAAAATTACGTCGTTCTCTTTGCAAATTCCACATCGTATTCGTAACCATATCGCATATGCCATGTTTAGAACCAAATCACTATAGCTATGACATTTGTATTTCAGTTTATACTGGATGTGGGGATAAAATGGCCAGAGTTTATGATGCCAAGTCTGGCGCATTAAAACGAACATTGAAAGGACATGAATTTGTAATCACAGCAATCGCGGTAAGTCAATCACTTACATAATTCTATTTGGGGTTTATTCTTTTACATAGAATGTAGTTAATTTGAGTGCTTGAATGATACCGTGTCATTACTTCAGTGAATCAATCGATATGTTTTCTATTAAAAAATAGCAGTAGCCACCCATGCACATATGACAACCGCTATCTATTCAGACATAGCAGTAGCAATGTGAGGTTACTATTTGCTCTAAATACACACTCACGTCATATTTATAATTATGTCATAACGTATGAACTATGAACCTGAGTAAACGGCGGGTTACAAACGACAGCCATATATCCATAACTGTAATACTTCAATTATTAGAAATAAACTTGATTTTGCTAGTCTGTGATGTTCACTCACATCATATGAAGTCGATATGAACGAGGACGAACAAGGAAACGGGATTTAGCAGGGATAAGAAAGATGATGAATTAGATGGTATCCTCGAACAAATCAAGCACATGATACAAACCCACAAATGATCTATTTATATCTACATTTTCTGTTAATTGTACTACGTCCTGTGAGATATTCAAAGGGTCGATTATTGAGAGGCGTTGCTAAGAAACGTCAAATAGCAAACATTAAGAAGATTTCAGAATGCATAGAAGTTTGACTTTCTATTGTATATTTCAGATAAATGGCGGGAAGCTCTACACGGCTTCCTACGACGGAAGTCTCAAAATATGGGATTGTTCCGACATCAAAGATGATATCACTAGTTTTGGTAATAAGGAAGACGCCGAAGATGAAAAGGAGAAAGAGAAAGAGAAAGAAAAGAATAAAAAGAACGAAAAAGATTCGAAAATGGATACAAACGGTAATAATGAGCTGGAAAGTATCAAAGAAAAGAATGAAACAGAAAGTACGGAAAAGTTACAAGAGAGTGAGAAAAAAGACAACGAGAAAGTGTTTGATAATAAGGAACTTGATGAAGATATAACTAAAGAAATTGAAGAAATCAACAAAGAAATGGAAGCCGTCAAAGATGTCTAGGTCATACCATGACCTTTTACACATGCAACAGAAGTGTGCCACATTGCAACCACCATGTGCACAACTACGTCAAAAACAAGAAGGCTGCTCGGAGATGATGGATTTGATTGCGTAAAATGGCACAGATTGTATGAAGAATTAATTTAGAAGTTGAACATTGTCTATGACGTCAGCTAAGAATACCACCTAGTGTGTTCTATCTGTCATAGAACTTTCAAAGTTTGTTTCTATACAAATTACTAAAAGGTCGTGTAAACGTAAACTGCACATTGTGATAGCGTGATGCGTCACCTAACATGGTTATTACGTCACATGCCACCTACAGTGGTGATGACATCACATGTTACCTACAGTATATTTTGACAATTCAATATTTACATGTTTTCCTTCTTTACTATATTTAGGCAATATATTAAATGAACGATGTCTCATTTGTTGATATCGTTTTTCTCATTTACTCAAAGCAATAATTTTTTCAATTTTTCGTGGGGATCACATATTTTATTATGACTAAACAAACAAACTCAGTTATGCCACATTTACAAATCGAATATTTGGATATTTCAAATCACTATTGAGACATCTAATCAGTTGTTACATAGTAATTAAGTAATGTACGATACGATAAACACAGTTACAGAATATTATGTAAACATTTATATTAAATTACTTATATTTGGAATTTATTTAGAGTTTATGTGGCTAAATTATACCATGCATGTGTAAACCACATAATCTTTCCATATATGGAATTTATAAATCAGTTAGTATAAGACATTAATGCAATCATTTTGAACATGCCTGTATTTTTCTCTACTAAAATAGCAAACACAGCAATGAATATGAACCATGCTAATATACATTAGTTTATGCACATTCACGTAGAAGAGTGGTTGCCATGAATAATTAGTTTTTATGCTATTTAACTATATTCTCTAATGCATTACTTGATTTAAAAGCTTTTCAAAGCGAAAAGAATGATTATTGTTCACTTTGCAATTAATTTGTAATCTCCAACCGTTATGTATACACTTTCTTTACATGACTTTCTTTCATGTTTCATTGATGACATATTACTCAGTGTATATAGTAGCTGCACTCACAGACACACATTGTAGACATATAAATAGTCAATATTTTAACACTTTATAAACCACTAACTGCTTGAAGTAATTTGAAAACGTTCATGTGATTTTACAGGATAATTCCTGTAATTCTAAATATTATATAGTATTCAAATAATGATGTAACTCTATGCAAAATGATACAATTCTATATTGGTTAAAAAAACTTGAGAAATTCGGATAATTCTATTTTCACCTGTAAACAGTAATTCTATTTATCATATCTACATTCTCGCAACAAATTAGAATGTCCCAGTAGAAACACAATGGACTAGTGTAAGCATATCTGGATGTAAGAGAGTAGATGTGCGAGAAAGGCAGTAGGAAGAGGGATGTGACAGGTGAAAATATTTAAGAGTGGTGTATTTTAGTGAAAGGATGTGTAATTGAGATCTGTTTTGCTGTACTATTTTTTGATTAGAGGTGCATCACACTGAATTTAACAGATGATACAGATTTATTGCTCAGTCCAATAATAAATTTTAGATAATAATTAGAATTAATCGTTGAGATTAGGGACTGGTTTGTGGATACATTGATGGGGATTAATACTGGTGAATGGATATAGAATGGATTGTTTGGGGTGTGTGGCTACATGGTTTACTGGTTAGATGAGTGAATGAAATGGACTGGATGGTTTGATGAGCTGGGCTTCTCATTGCATGTTTTGAATTGTTGGATTGGTGATTGAATAGAATGTACTGAATAGTTTGATGGATGATAGCATGAATTTATGTGTGCATATGTACTAAATGGTCTGGTTGGTGGGCAATAGATGAATTGGTTGGTGGATAGAATTAAAACTGGATTGTATAGGAGGTGGGTAGCTACATGGTTTGACTGGTCAGATGGCTGGACAGAATGGACTTAATGCTTTGGTGAAGTGCATGGTTGTCCGTATGGTTTGACTGGTCAGATAGCTGGACAGGATGGACGGGATACTTTGGTGATGTGCCTTCTGAGGCACTACATATTTTGACTGGTCGGGTTATAATTATTGGTGAATAGAATATACTAGATGGTTTGGTGGATGAGCAGATGAGTTGACGGAGAGGTTGGGTGGATGAATTGATCAGTGGATAGAAGGTGGGTGTGTCTGCCATGGTTGGACAGGTTTGGTGGGCAGATTAATTAGTGGGTGAGAAGAATGCAGTGGGTGGTTTGGCGGATGGCTACGTGGTTTGATTGGTCGGATGAAATGGTGGGTAGATAGTATGGAATGGATGAATTAGGTTTATTAGTAGTGGAACGAGCAGATA